GCGGCGCTGCGCAATCATTGACTAATTAAAATGCAATCGGCGTATGTCGAATTAGCATAAGCAAATTCTTCCCGGCTATCCTTTTTTCGTTCCTCCCCGTCCATTTCGCGAGATTCACTTTGTTTTCGATTCCCTGTTTACGCTGCTATTGCATGCCTCCGCCTGTGCGAAACAACGCAATGTAAATTGTCTATCAGTTGTTTGCCGCCGAAAAACAACTGGTGGCAATTAGCTGCCACCAGTAAAATTAATTCATTGTAATGACTACATGCACGTGTTACTTTACTTTGCTGACGCGAAAATTGTCCGTTTATAACATGCAATAAAAATAATAAATTAGACTTTCTGACATTAAATTAAAATAAACTCTTTATATAACTCATAATATTCAGATAATTAAAATTTATGTTATACATTTAAAAAATAAAAAAAAATTTATTGTATATAATTTTATTTGTATTTTATTTTCCATATTTCATGTCTATATGTATTAAAATGCCTTTGGTATTTCTGAAAGAAATCTTTTTTGCCGATAGAGATATAATAATTATTGAGAACATTAAAGGGATAAAAAAATTAAAAATACAATTTAAAGTTTACTTGAAATTAATATAATACAAGCGTACTCTCTTCATGTTCTTGTTTCATAAAAAATTTTATAAGCCAAGTTTTCTATGGAAGTTTCAATATCCTTTCGTATATTTAAACTTTTACCTATATAGGCTCTGTATCGATTTTTCGATCTTCTGCTGTTGCTCTTTCACAATTTTCTATTTCGGTATTTGACCCTTCCTCGTTTCGCGCAACTCTGGTTTATTGGATAATAAATGTTTAAACCTATATAAGCAAATTGCCATGCCACATCCGGCGAAGTTATTATTGAAACGTGCTAGCCGAAAGTCGTGAATATGCCTTTTTGTATACCTCTTTTGCAAAGTTGCCTTTTCGATAACGTACATCACATTGGAGATTTCCACCATTCCAAAATTTCACGAGTAAAATTCTGCGCATTCGCCCTCTCATAACAAGTCTTACATTTTATCGTAATCTATCGCTTAAATCGAAATGAGATTTTCTTTGTTGAAGAATTTCACGAAGATGCAAAGCAAAGCTCTTGCTATGTTAAGGAAATAATTAATAACTGTTGTATTTCTCATTTTCATGTATCTGTGGAATTATTCAGTATATAATTTCTGCACTTTTGAATGGAAAAAGAAACAATGTATAATTGATGTTGCTGCTAATTATAGCTGTAGTAATTACTGCTAAATTCACTTAGCAGCAGAAATCAGTTATGCAGGATTGTTAAATAAATATCGTTAATTTACGCAAACGTTTCGCTGATTGTACAGCAGAGCTGTACTTTGTAATTAATAATGCCGATTAATAATTTGGTGTGATTGGGAATTATGGAATGGGGAAGTTGTTACATCGTGGATTGAATTTCTTATTTTTTTCGCATACTATATTTATATCCCGCCATACCTGCAGTATGTGATCGCACTGATCGCACACATATACGCATATTGAGATAAGTGTCATGTAACGCGCAATTTACCAAGCAAAATAACGCTATGAAATATTTCGTCACTTTCGTGTACAATATATACGTTATGTGTAGCACATGGCATAGAATTTTCAAGAAATAACATGAGTTCCGGTGGACCTTTTGGGGTCGCAACGGAAAATTTCACCGCTGGGAATTTTTACATTGTAATTTACTTTTTATCTGCGGAAATTAGTTAAGAGGAAAACAATTACAGCCTATAAAAATTATAAAATTTTCAAAGATTTTTAATTATACATTCTAGTCCGTGATTATGTAATAAATATAGAAGATAAAATTAAATATCTCTTTTTCTGATATTAATGTATTAATTAATTGGAAATATTCGGATGAGATAATTAGCAAAATCTATATTTCTATAATAGAAAAAAAAACCTGAGTGCAAATGTGTATGCGACAAATTTTATTATTCCTTTCGTGTCATTTATATATTTTGATTTCTTCACAAGCTCTAATGAGTTCCAGTTACTAATACGCGTCTTTAAAAATACAGTAATTGTTTTTCGAAAGCATTTCCCTACCGCGGATGCTTATTGTAGACACGTTGCACACAATTGCAAAAACTGTCTACACGTACGTATATCCCGCATTTAAACAATGCCATCGGCAAAATTAATAAACGCGGGCGTTGTTTTCATGACATTCGCGAAGCAAAAATTCCGGAAAATAAAAATCCGCGACTCACAATTGATTGCTGTTTTGACATTTTGGCATTTTGACATTTCGACGGCTGGTACGCTCGTGCGCCTCTGTTGTTGCTCGAGCTTGTTTGACAAATAGTTTGCGGCCGCTTAAAAAACAATGAAAGAAACTGCTATAGTACTATGAATTCATAGAAATGGCGAAGACATCAAATTGATGAGCCAAGTGGTTGAAAGGAATAATTTTTATTCAAGCATCTTGCCGAATACATGTCGCAGGAAAAACAACTATAAAAACTTTAGGCTATACTATATATAAAAAAAACTACAGAAACGATTGCAACAATAATTCATTTAATCCAAAGTAAAATTTAACTTCTTTATCAATCGCAAATGTATCTCTTTGTATTTGTAACATTTCATCATTTATATCAATATGAATTTTTCTTTGTTAAAAGAATTTACAGCAAATACAAAGCAAAACTTTGATTAAAACCAAAAGGTCAATTAATTACTGCAACATTTCTATTGTATACAAAATTGTAGATCTTGCACTTTTTAATTGAAAAGAAACGGAGCAAAATACAACTTGGATTAAAGTTAAAATACTTCAATTTCTTTCCATTTCGTTCGTTATTACTTTCAGTATTCAAGACAATTATGAAAAGTATATAAAACACAAAAATGTACGTATTATTTTTTCTATGTAACGGCTTCGTTCTCTTTTAACGATTTTTTAAGGTTTCGTAATAAATTAATTGTATTATGATATTGATTTTGCTTTTCTTCCTCTTATTATTAGTTTCTTCTGCAAGACTAAGCAATAAATAATTATAATGCATTGTGTACAATTTGAAGGCAATTTTCTCTAGTAGTTATAGAAGACTTCGTATGTTCGTATATAGAAAAAAATATCTAAATATATATACTTTGTCATTATCTCCGTACAGTATCTTAATAGCGTATTCTAGAGATTAATTAAATTGCAAATCCTGATACGAAAATGATATAAATAATACAAAAATACAAATAATTTCAATATCAACTCTAATTAAAATATAATTAATTAAATATGATATAATTTATATGTATAAACAGTTTTTGCAACGAAAATATATATACCTCAATTTACAAGTAGATATGATGGATGAATAAAAGATTATAATAATTAAATTAATTAATTTAAAGTAATTTAAAAAATAATTAAATTCATATAGAATAGGTTTTATATTTTTAATTAATTTTAATGAAAATTTTACTTTAAAGAATATTTACATAAATTAATATTATTAATATGTGCTAAATTTTTACCTTTCGGGAAAAACAAAATTATATAATTTAATAAGTAAAAACTTTTTCTTTTGTAATTTTAATTTAATCAAAAATAAAATAAAATAATTTATTAATTTATTGTTGTCTTGATTTATTAAAATCACAATCTCAACTCTCGTATGATGTAGGCAAAACAAAATAATAATAAATTAATTTCGTTCTCAAAATAAAGATAAACCTTATTTTTCAAAAATGTAGATTTAAAGTTTTTAATAATGAAGTCTTAAATGAAGTAATTAGACGTTAAATTTAAATTGTCATTTAAAAAGGTTTGAATATTTTAATAACACGTTATATACAAACCAGACTCGCCATTATGTTCCGTCCGCCTCTCCTCTCATTACGCAATATTTGTTAATTATTTCAACGCGACGAAAGGACGCACTTTTCAGGTAAACGGCTGTGCTTTATAGTGATTTTTTTCTTTTCATAACGGCGCAACCCGGTTTTATAAAGTCAAAGCATACTTTCTATCCGCATCGTGAGAATAAAAAGTCGGAAAAAGTTTTGATGACTTTGTGGAAACGTTGCTTGTCATCTCGTTCGTTTAATGTGCAAGACACTTTTCGTATTTCTGTGTTTAATGTAAATAAATAATAACGTAAATGAATAAGTGAGCAATGGACTAAGGGCGACTCATTCCTCCTTATACTACTCATTGTCAGTGTGAAACATGGCATCGTTCTAAGACAACGGCATTAATCCATTTGCGATTCTATATCGTGACCTGTATAAGATAAAATGCTGTAAATGCTTAATTGTTACCGAAGTAAATTCAACCACTATAGTAGTGCAAATTTCATCTGTTCGATATACTCTCGATAATTTAATAAATCGTATTATCCAGTTGTACCGAAACACAGCAAAAATAGCTTTACCTATAAACGAGAGAGGATTATTAAATAATTATTAAGCCATCGTTGTATTTGCATCTTAATAAGCCCAACTCCCTCCGGTCACCCCGGGATATTTTTATGACGCAAATCAATATGGAATAAGAATGCGCGATAAAAAGTAATTTACTTCTCGAAAGCCCAAAGAGATAGAATATATTTTCGATTCTCAGCCATTCGCCTGGTCTTTTTCGTCGAATACTTTCTTTCCGGTGAAAGATATATCGCAGTACACGCCATGGGTTCTTTATTCGATACACACGCCGGCAACCACTCACTCACCCATACGCACACCTGCACACGGCGGTATGCCACTGAAGCCTTGCCAATAGCAAATAAATAGACGATATAGGGGAGGGTACGACAGCAAGGGGGTCAGGACATTACGTGGCTATTTCGTGAAGCGAAGGGATGCGAGAGGTGTGTGGGCGCGAGATTTAGAGACGTTTAATTTTCCAAAAAGGTGGATTTGCGACCGCCATCGCGACGCTTGCGTCGCCAATTTATCGTCAGAGTCGCGCACTCGCTGGATATTCGCTTACCAATAAGGAAAAATTCTTTTCTTACCTTTATTTACGTTGCTTGTCCGCATATTCCATTTTCAGCACCTCTAGACGATTTATTTTCGAGGAATCTTTGCCTTCCATATTCCGAGCCGATATATTTGTCACTTGTCCTGAAACAAGATATTACATATTGACAAATCTATATATGAATGCCATTTTAAATAATCGTTCTCAATAGAAATTGCTTTTAACACTGCATCACTTATATTGCAACGTTCTAAAGTTGAACCTAATAGATTTAATATAAAATATTGTTCTGACTTTTGGACTATTTTTTATCAGATGTTAAAAATAAGAGATATCCATGATAATGCAATTGCATTTTACTACCGATTAATCGTTACGCGCTCGTCGTTTCGTTGAAAATAAATTCAGTCGCACGTTTGTTTAGTATTCATGTAATGGAGAGAGCGTATTTTCAATTAAATGCCTAACATGCGGTTACGCGATTCAATAACTTTTACAACAATGAATGATGTGAATTACTATTTAAAAATAAGATATTTCGAAACTGTCACATTACTTATTTTTTTCGACGCAGGTCGTTTCTTTACACAACGCTCTCGATCATTATATAGGTATTGCAAATTGAAGAACTTTCTTATGAAGAAGTATAAACGGATAAAAGATTTTCTAGTATAAAAAAATCATTCGCGAAAAATACAAGTTGCGTATTAATGTAATTTCTTCAAAATTTTCATTCTCAGCTAATTATACAATTTCAAAGATTACATATATCGATTAATTTTCGACTTTGACTGTCTTACTGTTCGGACGTTGTGCCTCGATATGGCTAGTGACGTTTTGATTTCACCGTTTGTTTTGGAACGCATAAGAATTTTTTGCGTTTGTCTTGACGTTGTCAGGACACCACGTCAACGATGCAATTTGTTATGCGGATCGGTGTAACTTAAATTAAAGCACTTGAAAAGGACCGGAATTCGGTCGAAACGTCGTGCAATCTTGTTTTAATTGGCCAGTTGGGTCGAAAATAAAACGACTTATATCGATTAACATATAACGTGTATAAAAATATATAACTTTACAATTAGATGTAGTGGTAAGTTCTTTTTCTAATCGGTCGAAAACTTACGCTCGCAATATCGCAATCGACGCGAGCAAGAAAAACCGCAAAGTTCGGTCGGAATCCCCCGCGCAACCGCATCTACCATCCGCGAGCTGGAATCCAGGCTAAAACCCGCGAGGAGATCTCGCGAGAAACTCGAAATGAGCGTATCGACAGAGCGGAAGAAACGTAGCCGGCGGAATTAACCGGTAAGATAAACTTTGCCGCTGTAAATTTCCTAGGTGACATTAGCGATCGAATTAGAAAGTCGCTCTCGGGTGCCGTCGCGTACCGAAACTTCCGAAACGGCGAACAGGACGTCCATTAAATTTAGCCGGTGCATTTCTTGGATACACGAAAAATAAAAACTTATACAAGCGCTTATATTTCTCATCTTTGCGACCGTTCCGAGCGATACCGGTGATACTGAACATTTCGTCTGTCACTTCATTTTCGAGAGAATCGGTCGGCCTTTGAATTTATTTACTGGACCAATTTAATGCTCAAATTGCGTAGGGCTGTTCTCCGGGGATTTGTTATCGAGGGATCGACGAGCGAGATTAATTGCCGGGAATCGCGCGGACTTGCTGTAACCATTTTGGAGAATAAATTAGACTAGCTTCGGGAGCGCGGTCGCGGCGAATTTCTATTTTGATTACTATCTTGTTGTTAACACAATGATGGTGCCCTAAACGATGTTGAAAAATTCGATCAATACATGTGTACCTAATACGAAAAGCGATAAATCAATTTTACTTCATGAATAAAGCGAAACTCGATTAAGTTTACGTAATTTGAGAAACAATATATTATACAATAGTTATATCTATTTATACTAAAAACAAAAAAGTTCTAACACACAGTTCTAAAATAAAAAATATCTTTCTCCTGGTCGCATCATTTCCATTAGTAATGTAGGACATCTATCGATGTGTGGTGACGCGTTATTTTTCCAAAATTAATATTCAGATAAGTAAATAATAATTAAATTTCGTTTACGATGGCTATTTTATCACGGATATCGATATATGGCTCGTCCGATATGAAAGTCCAATGTAAAAACAGGAAAATAGAATTTTAATATTTCAACGCAAAAATAGCGATGACGAAGTCTGAACGTTATATTTTCAGATCTTTAGAACACCGTCAGATCTCAATTTCCGGGGCATTTTTAAATGCAGGCAGGTAACGTGAGATCTTTCCAGGGAGCAATTTTCGGCGAATAACTGAAGTTATGGTGCGGGAATGGAGATTACATCGATAGCGGATTAATATCGTAAATGCGAAATTTAATGTTAAAGAGCGAAAGCATTTTATAGCGCTCTAATCGATAAGCTGCGGCGTCGATCGCAAACCATTTACAATCCCGGCACCGTGGGGGAGAATATTTCATTATTGCACGTTACACAGCGTAATATATTACGACACATTATTACGCATCATTCATCGTTCATGTTTGTTTTAATCCGCGTGCTGCTTTATAATTTATATCCGAGATGCAGCGCGTTTTTGATTTCTTAAAGAGAGAGTAGAATTAATGTTGTAATTGAAGATAAAGGTCTTCCCTAATTCGATACTAGACTGAATAAATACTGAACAAATTGGATATCACCTATGTACATTGAGAAATCGCATGCTGGATATATTGATCTTATCAACTTAAAAAAAAGAACACTTAAAATGTATTTTAAGTTTTGTATCTTAATGGAAAATATACAAAGAAAATATGATGGCGTTTGCAAACGTTACAAGATTTGGAAATAAAATCATCGCAAATTATTCGTGATAAGTCAACAATAACATTTATTTTAAAAAAGTATCGTTTACTTTGCAACGTACATCTCTCGAATGCAAAGGAGCTTATACGTAGTGTTTATCTTGAACTAGATGTACTCTCAGTACGCAGATTTTCGAGACGCGTATTCCAAAAACAATTCGGGACATTTGGAGAAAATGAGAACGAAAGGTAAACAAAGTAGAGAGAATCGGGAGACAAAGATGGCGAGGCTGGAAAAAGAACATGGTCGGAAAATTGGACTTTCCTAGGTTTGCCGAAGAGTGAGATGCCCAGCCGGCACTACCGATTCCAAGGCGAATTGGAGTCAGCCTTATCTGATCTGGGCGCTCGTATAAATCCCGACAATCAAAAGATGACCATCTAAACAGTCGCGTTCTCCTAAGAAATGCTCTTAAACGGCTGGAAAAGTACTGCCACCCCTTTCGCATTTGCAACGAATAGCAGAATGCGATAACCTGTAATCTATGATTTAAATTATAACTTTATTTATGACAATGAACCACAGAATAATAGATATAAACGATTTAAAAAAATGATTAAAAAACTGAAATCACAAAGTTATAAATTCCTACAAAATAAACTGTTTTAAATCATAGAACTTAATACTATAATATAAAAGAATTATGATAACAGATACTATTATTTCCATTTAAAATCTACTTACGTAAAATATTTTTATTTTGTTAAAAATTTATACTTTGATAACGCATGTGTCTCTGTTACATTTAATTTCTTGACAAAATGTTATTCCAAACATGTGCGCTTTTTTAAATTCATACCGCGTTTCAATTTACCCGTGCATAAGACAGCAGAATTTTATTTTCTCGGCGATTATCGATTTTCATATCTCGGCGTGTCCCAAGTGTAAAGCAATAAATCGTCCTCTTGACGCAAGAGCAAAAATTGATAATTCGATAAAAAAATTTCCTGCCATGCTTGACTAAATTCACCTGTCGAGAGTTTCGCGTTTGTCGATGTTAGAAGACCCTCTGCGAGGGAATAAGCACGTCCCTTTGAAGAGACGTTAACAATATAATAAAACTGAAAAATACATTCGATTCGGTGAATTTAGATTGCAATATTTACTATCCTTCGGGAATTTTTTCCCATTTCGCACCATATCTCCTTTAATCATTATCGCATCATCCAAGCGGCGTAGTTTTAATGCGAAAGTTATCGCCAGTTAAAACACCACGTGACAAATATATGGGAACTAATTGACCAAAGCATGCGCTGAAATTATTTTCATTTTCACGCCGATACGATTTATTGAGCAAACGTTAATTGGAGCATCACACAGATAGACGGGTACGGCATTACTCGCGTCGGGCGTACGCGGTTATGACGCGTGTATCCGTTGTGCTGTGTATTTACACGCGAATTTTCCTAATTCCAGCGGGAGAAATTGGTATTGGAGCATTGAGAAAAAAATAACACATCACGCGCAGATGTGACGGCGAGAGCTTTGCGGGACGCCGTCATTTGTTGGTTAGCAAACTGCAGTTGAAGTTCTGTGGAAACTCGCGTCACCCGCTAGAAACTCGCGCTTTTAGGCTGCACGTAATGCGATATTTCATCCTTGACTATTTCACGCGACAGGAACAATCGTAACTTTATTAGCCCGCGATTATTATCTTAATCGATTGTCGCACCTTGCCGACAATTTTATGAATAATGATTTGAAAGGTAATGTATTTCTTGCACAATTATTTGTCGTTATCTAAATGGTAAATGACGAGAAAGATGTTGTTTAGCAAAAAGCTTATTTTATCTAATAATATTATCTATCTGGCCGCTTCTGATGCATATATATTCCAATCGAAGTTTTACTATCGATTCTTTCAATGAGAAATTCCATCGAGAATCCAGATGGAAAAATACCGACGTGAAAATCTGGCGCGTTATAATGCCATACAGACATAATAAGAGCAGACATGGTCTAGCGAGCAAATAATCTTCTAATGGATCTACTAATAGGACAAGCAAAGACGAGGTTGTCTCTTCTCTGTCGCGAAGGGTGAAAACCCATTTGGCGAGGGTGTCAGAGGGCTCGTGTGGCATCGCACGGTAGCTCGAGGCAAATACATGGACGAAGCATTTATCGGCCGTATCAATCGTTATCGAGGTGAAACAATTCGAGGATATCTGCGGTCCTCATGATGGCCGTGTCTCTCATCTCCGTCCCTTCCTTTTCTCCCCCGTGGGAACGAGTTATCGGAAGCGATCGATACTTGCCGCGCGGAACA